AAAACATGTTTGTCCATCATTCATATTTTCTTAATACCAAATAGTTCAGGTGATGAACAAAATGGAGGTATTCAACTAAAATGCATAATTGGCATTCCCAGGAAAAGATGGATAACATAGCTCCCCAAACTGGAAACAGAGATGCTTCCTTCTGTGGTGTATGATGTGTCTTCTTTCATCCAACAGTGATGGTATTTCATGTGGCTAAACCTGAAACTAAAGAAAACAGTATCAGAAAAAAGAGCAGGTTAATTAGGTCTTTCCTAAGTAATTCAATATCTAAATGTCATAATTTTGACTTCCACAGTAACAAACTCTCCTCTTCATTAGAAAAGAAAACAAGATTGTACTGAAGATGTAGACAAATTAAGCAATGGACATCAGACTAAGCAGAATGGTGGCTCAGGTACCTGGGTGAGATGTTCACTCACTTCCAGGGAAGCTGTCAATGGAAAGATGTGCAAAGCCCAAAGCTTTCCTGGAGAACATCCACCACATCCACCTGGCTGAAGTGCTCCCCTGTGCTCAGCTGCATTTCCCATGCTCTGCTGGTACAGAGCGGGACAAATTTGGAAATAATTAAATACAAGCATTTTTTTCCAGATTCCCAAGTGAAATGCTCCTCAGTAATCATCAATGACACTTTTGAAAATTGGATTGCAGCTCCCAAAGTAGCATGTGGTGAGGAACCTTGAAATATGGAAATGCCCAGATCCCAGTCAAGCTCATCTTACATTTTAGGGAAGTGCACAATGCTGAGGGCAGGGGGTGAGAGGTGAGGAAGCACAGGGTTCTCTACTTCTTACTCTCACAGAGTGCAAAAGCAAATGTAGCTTGTCACCAGCTCTGGTAGCTCATGTAGCTGCAGGCCTGATAACAACATCTGTCTCCATTTTCTTTTACATCCTAAGAACTGGGATAAGAAGTGTTCCTTGGCTGTGAAATCATACTGGAGGCAGCAGCTGCTGAAGTGAGCTAGAAAATGACAAGCGTGGGCAGGATACAATGCATCAAAAATTGATGCTGGCTGATGGAAGGGTGGGCTTAAAAATCCTGCCCAGTGCCCCTTGCAGAATGATTCTGCCAGCAAGCAGCAGTGCTTCCCTGCAAACCCTCTGTGTCTGTTCTGGAGAGAAACACATCCCAGCATGCAGTTTATGCAGGACCCACTAATGGTGCCAAGTACCCTGGAATGTGCTCAGCAATCTGATTCTGTGAGCTCTTTCATACTGAGAGGAATTTTCCTTTTAATGTATGATTAAGATTTGAATCTCTTATAGAAGCAGGAACAGAGGAGGGATTGACTTCCATGATACTTAAAAATCAAACATGTAATTGAGTGCATACAGCTCTGAAAACAATTGAAAGCTGCGTGAGGGCATAGATTATAGAATCACAGTTATTTACTGTGACTGAAATTATAGAATCAATGAAAACATAAAAACTGATCTTATAAAAATGGCCAACTGGCAAACCCAGTAGGTCAGTACTAGTAGGAACTTCTGCCTTCAACAGCTTCATATCAAATTTTATGGTAACTTTAACCACAGTCCTATCACTTCAGAGCACTGAAATTATGCTTTTCAGAAAGTGTCAATAGGATAATTGGAAGGATCCCAGCAATTTGAAACCACACCTACTGTTCTTCACAAATACCTGCATGATTTATAAAAACAGCTTAACTGCAATCTTTCCCTCACTCCTGAGCACACTTGGTACGTGTCTTTGCTAGAATGTTTTGAACTATGAGTTTCACTGCATAATTTCTGCATAATTTCTACCTTCTGTTGTTTGTGTGGGTGTCTTGCTTGAAGACAGATGAGAGAGAGATCCTTTTAAATATGAAAACACTTTTGTAAAGCCACACTCACAGAAGGAAAAGCAGGCAAAGCATATTTTTAGTTGTATTTTTAGTGATGGCATTTAAAGACTCCTTCAGGAATGCAGCAGGGGCCAAAGCCCAGGTAATACCCTAGGTGGACCTGCACTGAATTTTCATGGCATTAGACTGGAATATACACAATCAAACTTCTAATTTGCCTTAAAGTCTACATTCACTGGGTAACCAACTTGTCTTATCTAACTATACAACTACAGTCTCTCAGAAGGAAATACAGAGACATGAAACACCTTATGTGTTCAAGGATCTCAAAGCTCTCTACAGAGAGAGGTGGAAGTGTTGATGGCAAAAGGCAGTGTACTAAAAATCGTTGGCAATTGCTGATGTGGAACTTTCATTAGCTTTTATGCAGCCTTTGACATGTCTACCAGTTTTATTAAAAGAATTAATGGGATATAGGACACCAAGATTGTTTCATCTTGTCCTTGGGGCATTGATTGTCAAAGAGATTGATGCAGTAAATAGTGTTCAGGGTAATAGTGACCAGTGTGTGTGAATTTGACCTAGCAACAGCTCAGAGCGTAACACTGGGCACTTTCAGGGGGAAAAAAAAAGAAAAAGGGAAAAGTCCACAACTGTTGGCTTTAAGACACTGAGTTTTTCTTCTTTCTTTCCTCATAAAATGGCAGCACTTCATCCAGGAACTGCCAGGTCTGTATCTGTCTCTAATTTCCCTAAATAGAACACTGTTCTGTCCCTGGTCATTCATGAAGTCCATTAATGCTGCTTTTGATTCAGAGAGTACAGTGCTGCTTCCCCTTAAACAGGCAGAGGACAGCAGTACTGCAGGGGAGGGCTCAGAGTTTATCTTCATCCCCACTATCCCCAGTGGAGCTCTCTCAGGTTTCTAGCTCTGGCTAGAGCTCTTTCCTTGCTGGAGGCTCTTGTATCAGTAGTCTGAAATGCATGTGCTTCAGGGGAGCAGCTGTTAGTGTGATACCAAGAGGATAATTTTTGATCAAGAAGCTCCTGGTATACACTCCTTATCTACATCCCACCTCCTTCTTCAGAAAAAAACCCCAGGTTTTATCAAAATGATGTAGTCTAGAGCTGTCTCTGTCAATCCTGGGAGTTTAATCATTTGGCATTTTTCAGTCTCAGTACTCAACTATTCATGTGCAGTCAGCTCCTCCCTGGTGAGCAAACTACCCTTTAGCAGCATCCTAGAGACTTCATAGAAACAAGCCCAGCACTCATGCAAAAAGCAGACCACAATCTCCTTTCCCAGCCTAAGGACCTAGCTAGCAAGCTTTGCTCCAACTGCAGCATCATCTGCTGCTGAGCCACCCACAAGCACAGTTAGTAATGAGTTGAATCTGACCTTATCAGGTGAAGGGGGAAGTGGTTTTGTTGCAGGAAGTGTAGCAAAACTAAAGCAGAAAGTTCTATTTATTATTTTCACAGAGTATTTAGCTCTGAGACAATATTCTTTTGAGATATGCATTCAAAATCTAGCATGATAAAAGGCAAGATCTAGGTCTGAGTTTCATCCTCTGCAGCCACATCCTGTAATAATATTTCCCCACAATGTCATGTAACATTATAATTTCATGTATTTGGCATTATTTTCACCTATCTTATACAGAATACAGGTGAGCACTCCCTTAGCAACATATCCTGTTACAACTGTAGAAATGTCTTATTTTTTAACCTGAGAGTAAATCTTCTCACAAAAGGCCAATTAAGGTGTGCAGGTACATGACACACAGGGATATGGGAAGATAACATTTACCTGAGAGCCAGTTGACAGATATCAGAAATAGTCTAGTACTGAAGAGGTTGGGAGGAATCCCTGGAAGAAGCTGCACTATAGGAAGGCTGATGGGGCCTGGAAAGCACCTGCTCAGTGAGCAGAAGCTGAGTCCAAATGGCAAACAACTAAGCTCAGACCATCTGAGAACTGCCCTCAATTATGTCACAGACTTCCTGTGTCATGTTATCTCTTTGTGCCTCCTGATATCCTCACTTTAAAATAGTAGTATCAACAACTTCTCATCACTGTAAGTCCTCATAAGATGGATGGTTGGCAATCACTTCAAAAGCAGTCACTAATAATAGGCTGTCCCATAACCTAGCTGGCCTCTCTCAAATGCCAAAAAATAATCTAACTGAATTATTAATTTTTTCTGGAAGTGCCTCATCTTCTTTCAGCAATGCTGTTCAAAATTTCTTCTTCAGCTCTGCTCTCGACATACAATTTCATCTTCATGGTTCCACATGAAGCACAAAAATCAAGCTGCTCTTCCATACACCAATTTTTTTAACACAATCAAAAGATAGCATGACATGATATTCAGTTTGCAATAAAACTCCATCCAATTTAAACAGATGTAAAGAAGGAATTCCTTAAGATTTTAACCTAAAAAAATCACCATACACACTAATATCACCTGTGCAAGCAGCCATAGCCTTGTCTATGCAATTGATATATTAGTCTGTATTTCTTATTCAAGTAGCATCTCTTCTGTTTCTAGGCATTACAAGTATTTTCAGGCAGAGAGATCTCTTACTGCACATTTCTTTCCAGACTTGTTTCCTTATATTTGGACTTCCTGAAAGAATTACTGGAGCACAAGGACTGGAGAAAGTTAGAAGTGGGAGACTGGTTTTAGTTCCAAGAGGAAATCAGCTTCTTGTCCTTCCTTCTGACATACAAGAATGACAGACTGATCGATTTCTTTTGTTTGGGGAATTTCATCACCAAGGTATTTATTTCAAAGATGTGATTTTCTTCAGGGATCATTTGCAAATTGCTTTTTTCCTCTGCCTTTGTCAGAAACGAATGTCAGCAGAATGTTGAAGTGTAGGACATAATATTCTACACCAGAAAAAAAGTGTCAGAATTTGCACTGGTGCCTGCAGGATCATACAGGGTTTAATAGGGTAACACATTTGATTATAGATGACTTCTGGTAGCAGAAGGAAAATTGATTCTGTTTCCCTGCCACCTCACTCTCACAAAACCCATGATCAGGTTTTTCATGTCATATATTTGGCTAGAAGAAGTAGTGATTTATTTTGAGCAGATATTGCATACTATTAATTCTAAAAATGTGAGGCAAGCCAGAATAATCAGTGCTGTAAGGTATTTACTTACCTTCTACAGTTGACCCACATGACAATGCTCTTGTTCAGGAATTACAGGCAGTAACTTTGTAGTCTGTGCAGAAAGTGAAGTCTGTGCTTTGCTGGTTTTCACTATTTAAAGTTAAAATAATTTTATCCATATTATTAAACAGCAAATACATTTGCAGAGTGTTAAACTTGAATAAGCAAGTTGGAAAATAATTGAGACCTATCTGAACACAAGGCAGAGGTGGACAGAGTTTTTCAGAGGGATTTCAGTGCTGAGAGATGCAGATACATGTCAGGGACTCCTGGAAGTACTAACCATGTTTTGTGTATATTTTCCTCTTAGTACTAATAGGACTACAACATGCTGATCAAAAGTCTTTCTGGGAAGCAGCTTGAAGGCAAATAACTAGCTCCTGAAAGGTACTAGTAGTGAAAATCCAAACTCATGCAAATTTGGGATTATATAAGAGCCCCCCAAAATACAAACCCCTACATTTGGCCAGTGAAGTGGAAATAACTAAAATTTAGAGTGTGAACTTCCTGATTTGTTTTCAAGGACAGCCCAGATTGCCACATGTGATGTGCTCTGCTCACTTGTCATCCACACAGGGACAGCTACTGGGTATCACCCAGTTGTTGCCAAAGATGATAACCTCAGAAGCAGGAAAGGGTGTGGTGATGCCTTTAGCACACAGATAACACAGATCCTGATGTGATAACTTGCTGGGATGCAGATAAAGAAATAACAAAATAGCCTTGTCAGGCAAATAACACGGAGTTGTTGATCCAATATGTTTTTCAAATAACTACCATAGAATACAAACAATATTTTAGCTCCAGGTCCATCCTGTTCCTGACCATCCATTATGACTGTAAACCTACAACTGTGTTTATACTGAGTTGGTAACAAGAGGATAAATTGTGCCACTTATATTTAGCTACATCCTTTCTCCACTGACTGTATCATTTGGGCTTCTCTCTTTACAAATGCAATTAAAAAGTAGAGTTTGGATCTTGGCAATTAAGCAGCTGAATATGAAAAGCTGAATATGAAACTGAGGTGGTTTTAAAAAAAACAACAACAAACCAGTGGATCTTGTTTCACTCTCAGGATGAACCTGCAGAGCATGGGAATGTAGACTGATATTCCCTTCAGTGTCTGTGTGTGCCAGTGATCACATGCAAGCAAACCAAGCAGAGAAAAGGCATCAGTGCTCTATGAAGAGCACACAGGGGCTATTAAAACCTTCTGCATCCTATAGATTTTATCTTCTCATCTGAAAAACCAAAACCCCCCCCAAGAGGTAATAAGGCTTCACATTTTTCTCTGGAAATGTTGCACCTCAGAAACATATAAGTCTGTGTTACATATTGAATACTATGACAAGCTTTGCTTTACCCAGACTTATTCATGTAAGTTGCAGAGGAAATGACAACTATTCAGCTATGTCAGAAACTGAGAGAGATCAGAATCAATTAGGTGGTGCTTCAGTTGGCCAAGGCTAAAGGAATTTCTCCTTTATTGGCTTTGCATGTGTTTGCTGCTGTAGAAGATGTATCTTTCCTGTTCTCTTTGTTTAAAAGCAAAGAAATTGCAGAACACAAGGAGGAGTGGGTGAACTCACTGGCATGTCAGCCCTGACACTAGAGCCAGCATTTGCTTCTATTTCCAACCTGTCAACTAACCTGAAGCTGTAGCAACACATTAGAGAGATGGCAGAATTCCCCCTATTTCATCTAATCTTGTAGGAGAGGAGCTATTATTTTAATAGGATACCACAGAAAACAATACAGGAGTTCAAACGACTAAGGGGAAATTTGTCTTGTTGTTTCCTATGTGCAAATTACAGCTGTCAAGCCCACTTAGATCAAATGCTGTGAATGTCACAAAGCCTAAACAGTCCAGGAAACAATTGCAGGCCAGAAACCCTGAGGTTTTATTCTGAGAGTCCTGGTTGTCACCACGAGCCTGCAATGTCCTTCTTTCAGGATGAATTATAAAATTACCATCCCTCAAAATTATCTTTGCATTACTGTGAGCAAACAAGTGAGTCAACTAATCCTGTATTTGTATCCTAGAATGTAATAAACCAAACTGTGGCTCCATGAGAATAGGAATGGGACCAGACCTTTTTCTCCAACACACCTTGTGCCACTTTCAAAACAAGATAAACAAAGAATGTCATTCTCATGCTAGGAAAAGAAGATGTAAATGGGAATCTATAGTGGTAGAGTTCTAGTAACATAAGTTCCCACTCAAGTATGACCCATCTAATTATATTAATGAAATTTCCAGACCCTGCTAGGCAGATTCCATCTAGGAATTAAATGCCCTGATTTATGCAATTTGATGCTTGTGCAACTTCTTTTTTTTTAATCATACAGCATACAGTTCACACACACTGTCCTACTCCCAACAAGTAATTCTGCACCATGTCCCCAAGCTTATCTCTGTTTCAGGATACAACTATATGAAAATAGCTACACTTAATCAGTTAGTAGTAGTGGAAGAGGTACTAAAGTGGTTTGGTACCAATGGGTTAAGGAAAAGGAATAACAGCAGGGTAAGTATAACTGCCTTCCCTTTATTTGCAACTGAGGCTGATTTAAGCAACAAGCTGTGAATGACAATTCAGCAGTTTCTATCTAAGTTTTTTTTAAAACACTGTGGGGAATACTTACTAGTCCTTCTACCTGCTATTATCAATTTATTAAGCTGTTCTAAAACCTCTTCTACTGCCTCTTCAATTTAAGAAAGCTCCTCAAAGACATTCTTGCAATAAAAGGCTTATGTGAGAATCTCACTAAGACTCTCTGTAGTGACCACTAAAGCAAGGAAGTGACTTTTTTTTCAATGGGTTATTTTCCATGTGTTACTACTATCAAGTCCTGCTTGATAGGAAAATGCACTGTGCCTGGAAATACAGATCAGCCACTTAAAGAATACTTACTTCTTGC